GTATTAGGGGACAGAGTTAGGGCCACAGAGACTTTAGGGCACAGAATCGTTACTCAGGGACACAGAATCATTACTCAGGACACAGAATCGTTACTCAGGGACACAGAATTGTTACTCATGGGACACAGAATCGTTACTCAGGGACAGACACAGAATTGTTACTCAGGGACAAACAGAATTGTTACTCAGGGACACAGAATCGTTACTCAGGGACACAGAATTGTTTACTCAGGGACACAGAATCGTTACTCAGGGACGACAGAATCGTTACTCAGGGACACAGAATTGTTACTCAGGGACACAGAATTGTTACTGAGGGACACAGAATCGTTACTCAGGGGACACAGAATCGTTAGTTCAGGGACACAGAATCGTTACTCAGGGACACAGAATCGTTACTCAGGGACACAGAATTTTACTCAGGGACAGAATTGTTACTTGAGGGATCACTGAAATCGTTATACTCAGGACACAGAATTGTTACTCAGGGACACAGAATTGTTACTCCAGAGTGGACACAGAATTGTTACTGAGGACACAGAATCGTTACTTGAGGACACAGAATTGTTACTGAAGGGACACAGAAATGTTACTCAGGGACACAGAATTGTTACTCAGGGACACAGAATCGTTACTCCGGGACACAGATCGATGACACAGAATCGTTACTGAGGGACACAGAATTGGACACTATTGTTCACGGGACTCACAGAATCGTTACTCAGGGACACAGAATCGTTACTCAGGGACTCAGAATTGACGTTACTCAGGGCACAGACAGGGAACAGAATCGTTACTCAGGGACACAGAACTCGTTTACTCGGGACACAGAATTGCGTTACTCAGGGGGACACAGAATCGTTACTCAGGGACACAGAATTGTTACTCAGGGACACAGAATCGTTTTCTCTAGGGACACAGAATTGGTTACTCAGGGACACAGAATCGTTACTCAGGACACACTGAATCGTTACTTGGGACACAGAATCGTTACTCAGGGACACAGAATTGTTATCTCAGGGGACACAGTAAATGTTACTCAGGACACAGAATCGTTACTGAGGGACAGCAGAATCGTTACTCAGGGACACAGAATCGTTACTCAGGTCACCAGAAATTGTTACTCATGAGGGACACAGGAATCGATACTCAGGGACACAGAATCGTTACTCAGGGACACAGAATTGTTACTGAGGGGACACTGAATCGTTACTCAGGGGACACAGAATCGTTTACTCTGGGGACACAGAATCGTTACCTCTGGGGACACAGAATTGTTACTCAGGGACACAGAATCGTTACTCAGGGACACAGAATCGTTACTCAGGGACACAGATCGATTACTTTCTGCTTCACAACCACTATTGAATTAAAGAGTATGTCAGACAACACGCAGAGGAGTGGCAGAGGGGGCAATGTTTCAGGATATGGACCGAGGAGCAGACGTGGCAGCAGAGGAAGGGGTTGAGGCAGCACTAGTCGCAGCCAGAGGCCAGTGCTCCCGGTGTCATCCAGCCGGTCCGTGTCTCCACCGACAACCCTGCCGTCATCGTATTGGTTGACTCGGTCGTCTTCCTCTTCCCAGGTCACCACTCTGACACTACAGCCCAAACGGTCGGTGGGTACGTCAGACACAACCGTTAGTTGGCATGGCATTGCCCGGGAGCAAGCCCACTGAAATCACGTGTCCTCTACCCTGCCCCTTGTCCTTTGGTGTTCCCTCACCAAGCGAAGTATCGCGCATGCTGTGGGCTCAGCCCACGTGTACAGTGAGGAAGAGCTAAACAGAGGGCGGTCAGGAATCGGGGGAGACATCCTCGCATCTTCAGCAGCCAGGCGAAGAAGTACTGGCGAGGAGAGTGGCTCGGTAGCACGGTCTAGAGACAGGTCTGTCTCCTGACCCACACGCAGCCGAGGGGGGCTAGTAGTGACGCGAGACCCTAAATTGATGATGATGAGGCTGATCGCACTGGCAGCCTCGTCGTCATCAGGCTATGCTTCGCATCATCAGGAGAAGAGGGTTGCCAGCTTGCCAGCGAGCAAAAACAGTTGTGGGTTTGCCCATGAGGCAGCAGGGTCGCAGCAGTGTCAGTGGGAGGCAAAACGGCCACGGAGTAGAGCACCAGCTCCACTGCAGCCTACCACCACGGCCAGTAAGTGGTGCCGGTGTGCACGGAAGGGAAGTGAGCAGTCAGACCAGTGAGGAGTAGCGGGGGCAAAGTATCCTACTCGTCGGTGTGGCAATTTTTCGGTCAAGCCGCCCGAGGAAGTAAACGTAGCCGTATGTCGACTATGTGGCCAGATAAAGTCAGCGTTTCGTGGCCAGGGGGCCCATGTTGGGGACTACAGCGTTTTGCGTCATCCCGCATATGCAGCGTCGCCATTCGGGTGGGCCTGGGAAACTGTGATGATTAAAGATACGGCGCAGGTTCTGCCTGCCCCAGCCCCCGCTCCATCACCCGCTCCGTTACTTGCTCCGTCACCCGACGTTCAATCGCCCTCTAATCAGCCAAGTCAAGGCTCCAACACCTCTGCTTGAGGGGAGTTGGTCGCTCGTTGGCATCTTTCCGCTCGTTCAGCATGTGCTCCTTCTTCCCTGCTCACTCCGCTTCACGGATTCCGTCAGCAGTCTTTTCTTGGAATCCGTTTCCAAGAGACCTTACAGTTTGCCGAGCACGCACACCGACGGTGCTGAAGCTGAACATCATCTCCTGTCCAAGTTGCTGGTGCTGCAGTCCCTCCCGTTCCAAGTGGTGGAACTCAGCACCTTTCCGAGAAATGATGGCTTGTGCCGAGCCGCGGTGGAGAGTGCCAAGCCGGCATTTCTTCGCCAAAAAGGCAAGTGCCAGCCCTTGCATTTTCACATGTAGAAGAGATGGTGGGCGCCAGTCTTTGAGCATGTCGGTCTCTGCCTAAAGTGCACGGCAGCGCCGGACGTGTGGAGCTTGTAACTACGGTCAGGGACAGTACATGTCATTTCACGGGCCCACTGGGTGAACGTGGTGCCGGCACAGCAGCACCAGCAAACTTGGACAGTTCACCCGCTTTTGCACTCCACGTTTGCACGTCCTTGGTCCCAGCAAAGATGTCCCGCCTCTACCACCTCTTCTTCCGCCGTAGTTGTCCTCAGCCGCCACCCCCGTGCCAAGTCCCCATTTACCCGACCGCATATCACATGTGTGCAGGGCGCAACGGTTGTGTCACGAGCTGTGCTGCACCTGGTTATGCCTTGGGGAACGTAGTCACACAGGGAGGAACTTCTGAGTGTGTAATGAACAGAGAAATCGACAGATGGCTGTCTCCGAGCGACAAACGAAAATCGGAACCATGTTGACCGACATACGGAAAGAACATGGTGTCTGCTCTGGCGTCAAGGAAGGTTGTGCCATGCGCCATGCATGGCTCACGGTGTTCAATCTGGTTGTTCAAGTGGGTTCCTAAAATTCCACCATCCCCACTGCAAGACATCCTTAAAATGTCACGTAAACTTTGCATGCATTTCAGCCATTCCTACAACCACGCAAAGCACACCCTCCTTGAGCTGCAGCGGCAGAACAGGAATTCCACAGCATCGCCTGATCTGCGGACGGTTGCAACAAGGTGGAATTCATCCATTGACATATGTTAGACCGCCTTTCGAAACAGCAAAAAGGGCCATCAACCGATTTCCTGATGTTTACAAGCGGATAAAGGTACTCCCTGGGTAACTTAATGACAGCCTGGCCAGCTCATGCGCTGACAACCTGCCGCTTGCTCCAGGCCCTTTGAGGAGGCCACGCTATTCGTGAGTCGGCAGGACCTATGGGGATGAACGACGTCATTGCTCTGTTGCACGTCCTGGAACAAATGCTGTTAACAATGGCTGGTCAGGGTGCGGTAGACGTGGCGCCACAGATCTCAAACGCCACATGACCCCTGGTGGGGGCAGGAACAGGAAGAAGAAGGAGGAAGTAGAGGAGGACTTGGTGGCTCAGGAATTATTGAGTGAAATGGGTGGTTTTTTCCACTCAGCGGACAGGAGTGGGAGGAGCAGGAGCATCTGGTAGAGGAGGAGGAGGAGAACAGAGGACCCAGACGCACCGTGGCGCCTGGCTATGCTGTGGAGATGGAGGCAGGGAGTCCCTCGCATTCCTTGGCACAAATGGCCCATAGCATGCTCGCTTGCTTGCGTAGCGACAGCAGAATAATAACCATACAGACAGAGGGATGACTTTTGGCTGTCCACCTTGTTGGACCCTCGCTACCCGTTCAAAAATGTGGCCTTTTTCACACCTGCTGAGAGGGAGGCCAAAATAAAGTACTATAAAATCCACCTATGTAGTCAGTTTGGTCTCTGTCTTTCTGCGACAACGTCCATCCTCAGACACGTGTGGGACCCTGTGCGCTCGCGTACCGCTGCCAATGGCAGCAGGGGAGGGGTGGGGTGGTAGGAGCTAGTGGCAGCTCCACCAGCAGCGGCTGCCTCAGTCTGCAGTCGATGATGAGTAGCTTTCTTCACCAGCGCAGTGAGGAAACTACCTAACCAGCCGCAGCAGCAGCAGCAAGCATCAGGTGGACCTGGAGCAGGACCTCAAACAACAGGCTCGGGCCTACTTGGACAGCCCCTGCAACCGAGGTAGACAATCCCCTTGACTACTGGGCAACGAATACCTTACCTTTGCCCCAACTAGCTGAATTTGCCCTTGAAAGGATGTCATGCCCGGCCAGTACGTTGGCATCGGAGCGCGTGTGTTTAGTGCGGCAGGAGGTATTGTAACTCCGCGGAGGACACGACTGTCCACCCAAAGTGTGGAGAGACTCACGTTTGTGAAAATGAATCAGGCGTGGATTAGTCTGGATTTCAAACCACCAGTTCCTGACACAACTGACTAAATCCGGCCATGAATCATGCCCCAAACACCGGTTTATTAAGTTTTAACATAGGCCTCTGTATAGGCCTTCAATTTAAGCTGCTTACTAACGCTTTGGCCACTCTGCCATGGGCCCCTGTACCGCCTCCTCTTGCTGCTAGCAAGGTCCAGAGTCCCATGGTCCCCTGTCACCCTCCATTGCTGCTGTTCACCATCGCCAAACTCTGCCCATGTTGCCCACTTCACAGGTCGCCTCACAACTGCAGGTGGGTCACCATTCTGTTTTTTGATCTGGGGCCTCCATGCTGCGCTGCCCCCTCGTAAGTCTGCCATGTGCCCCCGTAACCTCCTCTCATGCTGCTGCCAGGTCCAGTAGTGTGTCATGGGTCCCTGTACCGCCTCCCTCATGCTGACTGCCCACGTCCAGAGTGTGTCATGGGGTGGGTCCCCTGTACGGCCTCCCATTCGCTGCTGTCTCCATCGCCACACTCTGCCAATGTGCCACTTTCAGGTCTCCTCACACTGCTGGTGGGTTCCATTTTGTCATAAGGGTGCTAGGTATGGCCTCCCATTGCTGCTGCCAGGCCCGTAATCTGCCATGGGCCCCCGTACCGACTCCTCATGCTGCTGCCAGGCCCATAATCTGTCACGGGCCCCTGTACCGCCGCCTCCTCATGCTGCTGCCAGGTCCAGAGTGTGTCATGGGTCCCTGTACTCGCTCCCATTGCTGCTGTCTCCATCGCCACCACTCTGCCATGTGCCACTTTCAGGTCTCCTCACACTGCTGGTGGGTTCCATTTTGTCATAGGGTGCTGTACTATGGCCTCCCATTGCTGCTGCCAGGCCCGTAATCTGCCATGGGCCCCCGTTACCGACTCCTCATGCTGCTGCCAGGCCCCGTAATCTGTCAGCGGGCCCCTGTACCGCCTCCTCATGCTGGCTGCCCAGGTCCAGAGTGTGTCCATGGGTCCCTGTACAGCCTCCCATTGCTGCTGTCTCCTCCATCGCCACACTCTGCCATGTGACACTTTACCAGGTCTCCTCACACTGCTGGTGGGGTTCCATTTTGTTTTTTTTTTTTTTGTCATAGGGTGCTGTATGGCCTCCCATTGCTGCTGCCGAGGCCCGTAATCTGCCATGGGCCCCCGTACCGCACTCCTCAAAGCTGCTGCCATGGCCCGTAATCTGTCATGGGCCCCTGTAACCGCCTCCTCATGCTGCTGCCAGGTCCAGAGTGTGTCATGGGTCCCTGTACGGCCTCCCATTGCTGCTGTCTCCATCGCCACACTCTGCCATGTGCCACTTTCAGGTCTCCTCACACTGCTGGTGGGTTCCATTTTGTCATAGGGTGCTGTATGGCCTCCCATTGCTGCTGCCTCCACCGCCACACTGTGGCTCCACACTCTGGTTTTGGCCCCGTGACTGCCCAAATGAGTGAAGTGTGCGTGATTCTAAGATCGACGACACTCATCTGCATGTCATACTGACTGACAGTATTATTTCTCTTCCCCAGCAGACTCCAAGGGCATTTAAATTACAGGTACAGTGTTCTGCACTAATATAAAGGCTCTCTAAAGCCTAGAAACACCCTTTTTACACGTTAAATTCGCAGCGAATATATTCGCCTCGAATCGAATTTATTCCGCAATTCAGCGAATCAGCCGAATCGAAATTTTTGAATAATTCGCCTCAGCTCTAGTACTAACATCATATTTAATTTGAATACTAGGAATTATTAATATCCACCACTGATGTGGAAGAAATGATCATTAAACTATAAGTCTTGATCAATACCAATTATAGAAGAATAAAGACTTTTCTTTTTTGCCATCTATGAAGGTAAATTATGGTAACACACAGTTTTTCAAGGTTTTTCAAGATTTTTTTACAGCAGCAGAAAAAAATGAAAGCAGTAAGTACAAAACACGAGTGGACTATATCAGGAAGGCCACACTAATATGGCAGATAGCGCTTCTGTATAACAACCTTCTGTATAAGCTTCTGTATGTGTGCAAACATGCTCTGGCTGTTCGATTTGGCACCAAGTGGGATTATTTAAACGAGATAGCTGCACATGCCATGTCGCTGATTTATGTCCAGCAGTACCTGTAACCTGTGTCCAGTAGTTCCAGACTGATTTCCCTGATTTTGACCCAGCTTGTGCTGATCTCCAACTTACCAACACTGGCATGCTCCTCAACCACACTTCTGCCTTTGCCTCTTGCTCTAGATCTGCTACTGCTATTATTATGTACCTGATCTTCCCATCCAGCTGCTAACTCAGTTTGTATCTCTTCTCCGTTACCTGGGCCCCAGTTGTGCGCACCTGCCTCGCTCATTATCCTATAATTGGGGGTTTCCAAGATAATTAAGATTTTATTTCATATGTAATCAGCTCTTATGATACAGTTTGAGCGCCAGGGTATTGATTAATTTCAAGAAGGTACTGCGATTCCTGAGGTTGAAATGCTAGTCTGTGCATGTATAAGGGATAATGTCAAGTCTTTGTTACCATCTTCTAAGGCAGGCAGATATACTGTATGCCAGCCATCAAAGTATTGCAGTTGGCAGTATCTTTTCACTAAGGGTAGTCAGGTCTATTACTTTTTTAAATTCTTTTTAAATCTACTCGTCAAAGGGGAACATACATCTAGTTTTGAAGCTATAATCCCATGGATCTACTGATCTCACACCTAGCTACTGGAAGGAGTCAACAGTGATTCTAATCTGCTGTGCACATTCTGCGATTTGGGTGGTTGATTGGATCTAGTGCTGGTATGTTACGTTGACTTATACCAATTTGTAATGGTTTACCAAAGTTTCATACAGTGATTTTCACACCTTCTCTAAAGGGATAGTTGCATAATACAGAAACAGAAGGGTATCATCGGGGAAATATTAACATTAGCTAACATAAATGGAGTAATACCTACAGTGCAATACATGAAGATTAATCTGCCCTTTTTATCTATTTTAATGTGCCTGCAGGTGATCAGTATGTTCTGGTGAATAAAAATGCTAACTCCTCTAGAGTAGGAGCTATAACAGGAATGAAGTGAGATTTTATATTGTGATCTGTGAAAATGATCAGTGGTATCTTTCATTAAATGTGTCTCCTGCAGGCACTCTAGGACTGGCTGGTATATAGACAGAGCTCAAAACAATGATTTCCTCTTAAAAGGTTTATGTAGATTTCTTACATTCCAGGAGAGAAATTTAATTTGATGTAGTATAGCATTAAACACAGACTTTCTAATCTGCCATTCTTTGTAATTTTACCCTAACCAGGAACCACTCCCTCTTTTTTTTTTTATTCACAGATCCTGCCTACTATTTTAAATACTTGCCTTCACCATATACAGTCATGGCACCCTCATTTTAATATTTAGTAGCACACTCCTTGAAAAAATAACTGAAATCAATTGCTTTCTGTAACCATCAATGAGTTTCTTACACCTCTCTACTAGAATTTTGAACTACTCTTCTTTCACCAACTGCTCCAGGTCTCTCATATTGGAAAGGTTCCTTTTCCCAACTTCTGTTTTGAGATCTCTCCACAGGTGCTATATGGGATTGATATCTGGACTCATTGCTGGCCAGTTTATTACTCTCCAGAGCTTTGTCTGAGACCATGTCTGGATGCTTTAGACATGTGCTTTGGGTCATTGTCCTGCTGTATGACCTATGACCTCTGATGGAGACCTAACTTTCTGACACTAGGCCCTATATTGCACCCCAAAATTCTTCAGATTTCATAGTGACATGCACATGGTCAAGACATCAAGTGCCTGAAGCAGCAAAGCAAACCCAAAACATCAGTGAACCTCCTCTATGTTTGACTGTAGAGACTGTATTTTTCATCATTTTAACTGGTTGCCAGAGTGATTTCTATATTGTCAGCGCCTCTTAATTGATACAGGTGAGTTTAATTACAAATTACAGGAGCATCACAAAGTTGGAATTATTTCTTTACGATTTTGGGAAGGTGCCAATAATTTTGTCCAGTCCATTTTGCAGGCTTTGCATGGAATGTGTCAGATTTGGCTTTTTGTTTCTCCACTTTTTTGTGTCATACCAATACAAATAAAAGAAATAAACATGACAATGCCTAAACATTTGTAATTGCAACAATTTTCTGGGTAAAGTGGTGCATTATCTGACAGAAATGCAGAGGTGCCAATATGTTTGGTCATGACTGTATGCACTGTAGGCACTAGTTGTGAGGCTTTTTCTCTTCTCTACCATACTATTCACAAAAACTGTAGCTGATTACTTTTGAAATACAGCCACTTACCTGTCCCTCGGTCCAACGGTGTCCTTACCACTGCTGGTTTCACCGGCCGTCTTCTCTCCCTGGTGCCGGCATCTTTAGTGTGGGCACCCGGCTGTAACAGCTTGCTTGCGTGTCCCTAGTCTGCCCCTCCTTGTCCGGAACCTGTCCCTACCACTACTCACTTTCCCTGAAAGATCGATGCTCTGTTCATACACTTTCCACTTGCACATATGAATAACTAAGCAGGGGGGCAGGCACTTAAAAAGGCTCTGCTGACCCAAGATGGCCACCAGGGTCACCTGTATGCAGAACAGTTGACCAGAACCTCAGGGAACCAAAGAAGCCATAGAGGAACCAAGTTTCTCTCGACTTCCTCTGAAGCTGCAGTATTACTCCGGCAAAGCTCCACCTACAGTGGAAAACTAAGGCTGCATACAGCAGAAAGTTTAAATTTGTAACAGTATGAAAAACATTACTGTAGGTGTTTTACTAAATTTTTTGTAAAATGCATTTCTCATTAGAAAATGAAAACAAAAAAAGTCTAGTATAGTACCAAACGATGCAAGATTCATAGCTTTTGTCATGCCAAGTATTGCTCTGATTAGTGGTGAGCAAAAGTGAGAAAAAGAATAAACAATACATATAGTACATGCAAATTAGGCTTTAACATGGCAACCTGGTTTAAAAAAATGTTAAACCTTTTTTTAAATCTGCAGATTCCATTAAAGTACAGTTGTGTTCAAAATAATAGCAGTGTGTTGAAAAAAGTGAATACAGCTCAAAATCCTTCTAATAGCTTTTATTTCCATACACACAAATGCATTGGGAACACTACACATTCTATTCCAAATCAAAACATGAAGAAAAATATAACAAATTTGTGTTGTTCCTCTAAAAAAATTGAAGGAAAGTGAATATTAGACTGTTCAAAAAAAGAGCAGTGTTTGTATTCTTCTTTACAAACTCAAACATTCACTATATAAACTGAAAAATGTTTGAAGATTTTGCTCTCCTTTGAATCACTTAATTAATATTTAGTTGTATAAGCACTGTTTCTGAGAACTGCTGTACATCTGTGTTGCATGGAGTCAACCAACTTCTGGCACCTGTGAACAGGTATTCCAGCCCAGGATGATTGGACTACATTCCACAGTTCTTCTCTATTTCTTGGTTTTGCCTCAGAAACTGCATTTTTTATGTCACCCCACAAGTTTTCTATTGGATTAAGATCCGGGGATTAGGCTGGCCACTCCATAACGTCAATCTTGTTGGT